AAAAAAAAAAAAAAAAAGAAAAGAAAAAGCAACTCGATTTCCTACCTCTCCTTTAATAATTGACCATGTAAGGTTGCTTCCCAAATTTTCAAGTCACATTTAAAAATACCCCGTGTAGTCACCCTGACCTAAGAAGCCTGAAGCCATTCACCTTCCCTGCACAGAGGTGGGAAGCCCACCAGACAGAACACATTCAACTCCATTCCACAAACACTTGGGGAAGAACAAGGAATGGCTGCTCCTTTTAAGAGGCTGATGACCTCGAGAGGGAGGAAAGCAAGTATACGAAACTGCAGGGTAAGGTGACAGACACAAGAGAGGGACCAAACATTACGGAATACAGAGGAGGAATTCGTTCAAGCAGAAGAAATTAAGGAGAGCCCAACAGTGGAGGAGGCATCTGGGCCTTATAGAACCACTGGTGGGGTCAGGCCGGGGGAGGGAATAGGAGAGGGACGGGGAGGGCCTTCCGGTGTTCAGGATGGCCAATGCTGGCCCACGATGGCCTGGTGTGTGGCACATCTGAGGACTGTCAGCACCCGATGGGGTGGACACTGGAAGCTGTGGAGTGGCCAGCCTGATCCCCTTTGGAGGGGGCTGTCATCAAATGCCTTCTGTGGAGGAAGTGACTGGCCCTAGTGTGGAAGGTTGACTCTGGGGGTGGAGAGAGGAGGGTGAGGGCGACGGGGGTGAAAAGGACTGGTCAGCACTGAGAGACTTTTAAAGGTAGAATTCACAAGACTTGGGCTCCAGAAAGCAAGGCAGCAAAAGGAGTGTCCACCAAGGACAGGTTGAGGGTGGGTGGCTGGGACTCATGGCATGATGGGTTGTGGGGGCAGGGTGGGGTTAGGGCAGAAAATACACAGGAAACATGGCTCCATTTCTGGCCTCCTAGGCAGCAGGCAGGCAGGTGGCTTCTCCCCTGTGCCCTGCACACCCCAGCGCTGAGTTGAGGGTCAAGTGACAGACGAGAGGCCAAAGTCTGGCAGTTACAAACAACATGACATCACCGAGTGCTGAGGGGCTTAAGAATACAGACCAAAAGAGAGCTCAAAATAAGGAGCTCTGTGGGGCCGCACAGGAAATGGGAGCACAGGAGGCCATTTTAAAAGCAAAGGAAGCTGAGAACCCAACTCAGAAGCCTGGCCTCTCCCAGCCACAGATGGGAGGCCCGCGCTGGCAGCATGGGGAAACTGGTCCTCTTGACCCCAGAGGGAAGTGCACTGTGCTGCTCTGACCTGGAAAGATCTGGGAGGATTAAGGAAGCAGGGCCTGTCTTCAGGGAGTGTCAGGACTTTATAGACCTTATTTTTAGATTAATGTGATGAAGCTATTAATATTCCCGGCTTCCCAGCAAAAAAGAGGCTATCAGGCATGCTCACCGCCTATTCTCTCCTCAGCCACACACCCTCCCCCTCGCTACCTGCAAGTCAGTCCTGATGCCTCCATTTTCAAGCCACAGCTCCAAGAAGGGTCCAGCGGGGACCCTGAGGCTCACAACAAGGGCTAGGAGTGGCAGCCCAGGGTCCTGAGCCATAGAAACCCCCATTCCCTGCTATTTGTCCACAGAGTCTCCACAGAGCACTCTGAGGTATACAACCGTCTCACAGGAACCCCACCTCCATGACCATAGGGGGTCTATGCAAAATAAAAAAACCACCAAACTTTTACCTCACACTACAGATTGCGTACACAAAGTGGGGAAGTGCAAGATATATTCCAAAAAGGCTATTCCCGGCCCTGGCTGGACTCTTGGCTGAATCAATCGGCTTGGCTTCTTTTCCAGAGACTGAAGGGAGGAAGAGTGTAAAAGACCACAATTTACTTCATAAAGTCATTTGGTTTTCTTACATAAACACATGCTTTTCAATGGCATGTTTAGCTCATCTCATTAATTCTTAAACAACCAGAGGGTATTCTATCTTAGGTTACTGCAATTGGGTAAATACCACTTGTTTAAAAAAATGAGATGATTAGCCAAAAGAATGTAGAGAGTCTATCCCCAAGGTTAAAGTCACAGAATACTGTCTCAAAACAACCCAATTTCAGAAAAACAACCCATATGTCAAAAATGACAATAAAGTGTCATTCAAAGAAAGAAATGATGCACTCTATGGTTCCATTTGCAGCCTTTGTCAAAGGCCTATGTATTTACTTAATTTTCTTGATCTGTCAGAAACTTTTCCTGCCTTCTTCCTTTACCAAAAACATTACCTTTTGTGCCATTTGAGGGAAAAGGACGATATGCTTTCAAAACTTTACCAAACAAAGAACAAAAGCAAGCAACACTTTAAAAGTACTCATCAGGTACTGAACAAATATCGACAGCACTGAGAAACTCAATCTCATGCTTAGTTTAGATTGTCTTGTATTATAATTAGTGGTTTCTTGTGTTGTAATCAATTATATTTCATATTCTATCCCTTGATTTAGATGGTAAGGTGTCTGAAGCAGCAAGTATTTTCAGCATTCTCCAACACAGTCACCTGGCATTTTTTAAACAGGCAACATGCAATAACTATTTTTTCGAGACAGGGTCTCATCACTTTATCGCCCAGGCTGAAGGGCAGTGGCATAATCATGGCTCACTGCAGCCTTGACCTCCTGAGCTCAAGTGTTCCTTCTGCCTTAGCCTTCCGAGTAGCTGAGAATACAGGTGTGCAGCACCACACCTGGCTATTTTTTTAAAAAATTATTTTCTGTAGAGAGGGGGTCTCACTCTGTTGCCAGGCTGGTCTTGACCTCCTGGGCTCAAGTGAGCCTTCTGCCAGGGCCTCCCAAAGTGCTGGGTTTATAGACATGAGCCACAGTGCCCAAACCTGCAATAACTTTTTGAATCAATGAATAAATGATTAAATGAACGGCCAGGTTAATTAACTGCAGCTTTAGTAAAGCCAGCTATGCTTTTTTTTTAAATGAAAATATTTTAGGGTAGCTGGGAACTGATGGGAGAATGTGAAAAATACTGGTTAGGAAAGATGGTAAATGTATAGTACTTGATTAAATCCTCCTCCTTTTCGTGCCCTTGGCAGACATTAATAATCAGTTATAAGACTCTTGCTGAGCGTTGATTAGGCCTCAAATTTCATCTCAGATGCCAAGCTCAATCAATCCGCAGTAGCTGCCCTAAGTGCTATGTAGAGAAGGATCCACTTGCCTTCTCTGTGTTAGATCCAGGTTTTTAAAAGCAACACTTTCCTGAAAAAAGGAAGACAGGGTTACTTTTCTGGATTTAATGTCACTTCTTTTATTTTTAAATCCCTTCTTCCTTCCGGGCACTGATTTTTCCCCCGCTTGATATCCTACCCCATCCTGTTTAAACAGAACTGTCTGGTAATCAAATTGCCTTTCCTTGTCAATGCTCTTTGTTCCTGCCTGGTGTCCAGGCCCCCATCCGTGTGGGATCTCACCCCCATGCTCACCATCTCCCACATGTGGGGGACACGACAGCAGGGAGCTGGGCATGACCATGGGAAACACTGGATCGTTTTCCTAGGCCCCTCAACAGCTTCAATCTACAAAATCTTGGATTTGCCCTTGAAACTCTCTTGTAGCATCCCAGCTTTGATCCTCAGCACTGAGGGTCCCCTTCACTTACTCTAGGGTTTGGTGTGGTCAGATGGCTCCGAGCTGGACACTGGGCCACTGTCACATCTAAATCTGCTCTCTGCTGCCTACTGTATACCCTTCTCCCAGGGATGTGAGGCTTCCCTGGGAAAACGGGAGTGATTCTTACAGGGACACAACGTGAAGGTTCCTGTGCATGGGCAGATACAGACACAGGGGCTAACGGTCAATGAGGCTTGTGAAACCCCTGATAAAATGTGATGAGTTGATAGGAAGAAAAGAAAATAAGACCTTGTCCCTGCCCTCTGGAGACTTATAATCTCACGAGGCAGATGCAGCAAACCCACACGGCAGGATGCCTGAATTAAAGTATTAATTCGGCTGCCTTCTCTTGGCCAGCAGGAAGATCATGAACGCATGAGAGGGGTTTCTTGTTCCCCTCTCCTGAATTTGAGCTGGGAAGCAGAAGGTCAGGGACTTCTTGGCATCCAGAGACAGGTTAAGAGGCTTCTATTTGTTATGTTTTCCAATCCAACAGGGAAAGAGCTAGCTAGGTAAGGGAGGCGGCATCTTAAAGGCTTGGACAGGCAAAGTGGAGCCTGGGAGAAGGGATCTGTAATTGGAGGAGGCTTGGGCTCTGCTCCCTGGCACTCCTGGAGAAGCTCTGGGGAGCTGGAGACTGAATTATATAGACCGTTGCCACAGGAGCTAGTAGGCAGGTCCTGGGGCCTGACCAGGCAGGGAGACACAGCATGGCAACCAGAGATGCTGTGTACGTCATTGGATTATCACCTTGAGATGGTACGCAACCCTGCAGTGACCATGAGGTTCTGGTCTGCCCTCCAGGACTTACACAGTCTCATCAAGGTGGATGTCATCCTCTCAAGATGACATGTCAGCAGGGGCATGAAGTCACACGTATTTTTTTTACTTGGCCCAGTCATAATGTTTTGTGAGTCCTCTCATCGAAGGTCCTCTTTATTATATTATTTAATAAGAAACAAATGCTCATGTGTTTAACTGAGAAAAACACAATGAAATTCTTGCAGGTGAGTGTCATGGAGCAAATGTGAGCTTATTCCAAGGAGGTGGAAAAATAAACAAACAGCGTTCTGGGGTTGTTCTGCAGGTGAAGGTAGTGGTGGTGCAAGGACCTGAATCCCTCAGTCAAGAGAGTTAGAACAGGTCAGCTTCTATGTGAGGCGAGTCTTGTGTCTGGACACCCAATTTTGGCTTAGATTTCCTTAGCCTTGACTTATTAACTTGTACTTTCACTCACACAAAAACATTACATTGAATTAAAATATTCTAAGTCCAGATCCAAATATTAGAACACAGGAGTGGGAGAGGTGGCTACCACTGAGAGCACCTACCACGTGCCATGCACTGCCGGGTGCCTTATCTTTACTACCTCTAATTACCATGATCCCCAAGAGAAGGATCATTTGTACAGATCTGTCTCATTTGTACAGATAAGGCACAAAGCAGAATATGGGCTAGAAAAGTTTAAAAACTTGCCAGTAGTCCCACAACTGGTAAAACCTGGAGTCAGGCTTCAAACCAAGCTTGGCTGGACTTCAAGCTTCTCTTGTCAGACACTTCATCAGGTCACCTCTCAGCTTCCAAATGGCTCCAAGGTTGGATGTCAGTGGAAGGATCTTTGGGGCAAATAATTTCCTTATTTTGAAAAACATCTGCCCAACTGTGGAAGAAAATCAGTGTCCTGCATTCAATCCTGACTTTGCCTCCTATACACTGTGTAATAAGGGGCATGGCCTCTCTGAGAGCATTTCTCATCAGACAGAAGAAAGTTCACCTCTAGTGCAGCCAGGATGAAGAAGAGCCTGGGGTCAGGCTCTAGAATCAGGTCAACACCCTTAAAGAAAAGGCTGCTGGAATTAGGAATATTTTAATCTATGTGATTAACAAACCCAGCATATGACAGCAGGTGCCATTTTATTACTTTAAGATCTTATCTGGGCTGTGAGTTGCATTTATTTCCTTTATAGGAACGTGGCTGGGGCTATGCTGTAGATCACTATTGCTGGGCTGTACTGCAGGGATTCAGTTGTGTGCGTGGACAGGTGTATTTCCTCATTGAGGCAACTGGCCATACAGTTAAGAGTGGAAACGCTGAGGACCCTGAGAAGGGTGGCAAACCAAGCCCTGCACTGGCTGAAGTTCCTTACAGGAGGCCTGGACTCTGGATACCGCATGCATGTGTTAGCTATTCTGTCAAACGACTCAGACTTGGGGAATACACTGGCCACCTGAGAGCTAAGTCAAGCTTAAAAGGGGGAGATTGGAAAGTGACAGTCAGTGAGATTGATGGAGAGTTCTTGTGCCAAAAGGTCCTTCATACAGCAACGTGCTGTATGCTGGTGGTGCTGTGCTTGTAAGGGAATGAGGAGAAGGCCAGCCCTCATATCTGGAGTGGGGTATTTCTTGGAGGGCATATAACTTCATACTGCCAGAGCTGGCGCAGAAAGTGAGTACTTGAAGGGCAGGCTTCTGGGCTGGGGGAAGCTAGTGTCTCAGAGGCTGGTCATTCCTCCAGTTGGGGAAGAAAAGAAGACAGGCATCCTCCACCTGTTGGGAGGGCAGCAGTGGGCAGAGGTGCTTAGTGGGTGGTGTCTGTGGAGGGGCAGGATCTGTATCTGGTGTCTCCTCCATTTATCTGTGACTAGTCCCTTGTTTTTAACAGCTGCATTGCTGATCTGGGTTTAAATGTGCCAGGCTGATCTTGGCTGTGCTAGAGGAGTGTGGTCTGACTCAAAGAACGCACAACCTCTCCCTTCCCCCAGGCCACACAGTGGCAGCAGCACCAGTGCCAGGGAGGCTGGTGGTCTTGGCCTTGCAGGGGATGAGCCAGGGACCAGCAGGGCCCCTCAGGCAGGTGGGGGTCAAGGCAGAGAACTGGCATGGGACCCAGGCAGGATGGGTCTGCAAAACACCTAAATGTCCCCCAGCATGGCGGAGGGCTTTGTGGCTGGGGAACTGATTAAAGTGGGATAGGTAGATGGTAAAAAAAGGAAATGTGTTCTTAGTTTTTCGCCAGGTTGGTGGGGCTGCAAGGCAGTTGCTCTCTACACTTCTTGTCTGTCTCTAGAGCACCTGGACATAGAGAATTGGCTCCTTGCTGGGCAGATATTGCTCTGGATGTGTGATGCAGGTCCAAGGGATAGTGGAGGAATGGTGGCTGCTTGAAGCCCATCTTAAACAGGGAGCTCCCACCGGGCCCCAGTTACCCTGAACCACAAGGCAGAAGTTTTGGCCTGAAAACATTTAACTGCAGACTAAACTCATTTGGATAAACAGAGGTCTCCAGTTTCTCCCTCTGTGGGTGTTCTGTGGTCACCATTTCCTTTGCTGTCTTGGGGTAGGGAGGGATTAGGAACCCACTGATAAATTAACCTAAGGGTTCCCATCACTGAAACTCAGAGCTAAGTCCTGGGGAAAGGGAGGCTGTGCCATTTTCCTTGATGGGCCTCTCTCCAGCTCCTGCCCCTCCTCCTCTCCTGGCCTCTTCTTCGATCTGTGCTGAGACCTAAGACATGCAGCTTCTCTGACCCTTGACATGGGCTGGCATCACCCACAAACCTGAATCTTCCCGATCCTCCTCTTATTCCCTGGAGCAAAGAAGAGCTCAACAATTGATTTTAAATGTGTTATCATCGGAGTCCAGTTTGTATTTGCTTGTTTCTCTGAAATTCAGAAAAGACACAGTCTTCACCCCTTTAAAAAAATCAAATTTCATTTTGGATCATGCCTCCATTTGCTACTCTGTAAAGTGAAGGTGGGAATCAGCCAGGCAACTCCATAAGATACCATACAGTTCTAAAGCTGATTTCATATCCCACACCCTGCAGCGGCTTATTAATAAAAATGTATTAACATTGACCTAAAGCTCAAGATGAAACACATTTCCACAGCCGCAGATGCATGGAGCTTGTTGCATCAGCAGCGTTGTGCAGACAGTGAAGGGTTTGTTGGGGAATTATATCAGGCTCCCACCAGGGCCTCCTTGGCTCTGTCCTTTGTACCAGTGACAGTGCAGATGTGCTGACTGGCGAGGGGTGGAGTGAGCAGCCACATCAATACTGGAGATGTCTGAGGATGTGTTAATGACTGATTCATAGCCGTCAATGGCGCCATGGAAGGCTCTTTGTGATGGTCCCACCCCTGGGGCAGGGATATAAGGACCAGTAATGAAGGACCCATTTCAATCCAACAAAAATGTATTGAGGCCTCACCAGATGCAGGACACTGTGCTCAGCTTGGGGAGAGGCCGGCAGAGAGGGACAGAAGACAGACAGTGGTGTCAGGGCTGCAGCTCAACAGTGCTTAAGTCAGCTGAGCCCCTGGCATCGCACTGCTCCGATTGAACAGCAAAGTTCTTTGCACACCATTGTTTCAGTAAGTCAAACGACTTACTTCTAAAGGTGGGGGCTGTGCCCTTTGAGAGTCCCAAGAAACAAATGGGCCCACTTTGGCTTTCTGCTCAGGATGGCCTGTTCTCAGCACCTCGCGCTGACTGACTGTCCCTTGGTGACAGAAATGTAAAAATGCCCAGAGGGTTCCAATGTCCCCACCAAATGCTCTCTTCTCTACACTCTGGTAATCTCCACTTAGCGTGGTCCACAGAGCGCACGTGTAGACGGACACCCTTCCACCACTGGCCCTTGCATTTTCACATGTGAATCTCGGTGGTTTAATGATGTGTTGATTTCTGAGTGGACTAAAGTTGATATTTGAAATTGGATTAAGCATTCCAACCTGTGAGAGTTAAGTCATCCTTAAAGTATGAAGACTGAAAAATAACATTGAATGAAATTAAAGATAAAATTCCTTTAAAAGCAGGAAAAATCTCTCTGACAAGAGCCAAAAGGGACTTTATATAATGATATATAAAAATATTCATTACAAGGGAATAAAATAAAAATATCTACTTATTTACTCTAGTTTTAAAGAAGTTAGTGCAAAGACACAAGTTGGCCAAAATCATCAATTTTATCCCCAAATCAAATCCTCTTATAAAAACTATTACCAGAAGATCTCTGTTTAACATCTCTAAGCCCTGGTCAATACTTTGATGCCATCATGTTCTAATACAAGTGATGAACCTAGAGAGTCTCCTGGAATTTGCTGCTGTGGGGTTTAATCTGTATTAAAGTTCTTATCTTTGATAGAGAAAGGTTTGTGGGGGAAGCCCTGATCAAACCCGACAGTTCTGCCTACAGAACACCAATCAACTCAGTGCTTGGATCTGGAAGACATTTCACAGAACTGCAGAGTTTTTGTACTACTGAAATGACCTTGAAAACTGAGGCAAACAGACTCCAAGGTAGAAAAGGCATCTTCCATTTGGGAAAGAAGAAATGCTTTGATCAGACATTGCTCAGAGGTCAGAGGCTCATTTTTGGTAACCTCAAGTAAGCCCCTCACTAATAGGACCCCTCACCAAGGTGCTGTGAAGTCCCCAGTGGCTGGTTTCAAGTGTTGGTGGGGTAAGACCTTATATTGGTAGGTTGGCTCTGGGGTGACAGATTGACAGCAGGTCATTACTCCCACCTATGCCCATGGAAGACACTACTAATCAATCAGATGCAACCTCAAACCTCCTAACACTGATCTCAGGCAGCAACTCACTTCTGCACACCCTACTGTGACAAGGAAAATCCCCCAGGCCAAACCCAGAAAGCAATATCCTCATCAACAGCTTTTGGACCATAAGCCTAGGGTCACTGCTAAAGGAAGTGGATTACAAAAGCTTTGTGCTTATAGGTAGCATTCAGATGTCTGCCATTAGTTATGTTTAGAATTCCAAGAATGGACTGGTATGAAGAAGGCTGGCTCAACGAACTTGGTAAAAATATCAACAAAACCCAATACACTGGGCCCTTTGTTTATCTGGGCTGTTCATAGAGAAATGTTCCAATTCAGAAGTATTTACAAAGAACTGAAATGACCATTCAACAAAGACCTCTTGGGTTGCTCTAAAGTGATTAAAATGGAGGGACTGGCCACTAGAGAGGACTGATAAAACTTGAATTATTTGCAAGTCAGAACCTTCCTGCCAAACTGCATTCCACAGATAACTAAGGAAGTCACAACACAGGGTATAAAACTGCTTGTGTGGTGGGGCTGGCTCACCTCCTCAACCACCGCCACAAGCCTCCCTTGGTTAATAAAGGTGGAACCCAGAGATCATTCTGAACACTGCATAAGACCCTCCTATCCCTTTGATCTGGGGAACCTGATGCTTAACAGAGGGATGGGCATCTGAAGCTTTCCACAAACATGTCCCTGCTGTTAACTGAATGGTATATAAAAAATGTGGATGCTAACAATCCTTTTGGACCCCAGCTAGGTTGCAGAAATCTAACAAGGTTTGTCCAGGTCCTAAGCCCTCCCCTGTGGAGATGGAGCAGGTTTCACTGGTTACAGAGAATCAGCAGTGGACACCAGTAATCAGAAGATATCATTCACAGCCAGATTTTTTAGGCACAGAGCTGTATCACACAGTAACTTGAAACTAATAAGAGTTAATAAAGTGTTAAAATTTTAAGAATAAGACTGGCTTCTAAAAATATCATTGCCAAGTCTATCCATATAATCACATCCCTTGCATTCCGATGAGCCTGCTGGAGTGGGAAAGGGGGTGAATTTCGGTGACTGCCAGGGAACTGCTCATGGTGGGCAGTCTACTTTGTCTATGCCATGGCCCTTAGTGGTTCTCATTAATTGTGGCCTATTAATAGGTGGCAGTTACTAAGTACCTTCATGCTTTATTTTCATGTCCAAGAAGTTTGTTCTTAGTTTCGTTGGAATCAAAGGATACCCATGGAAGTTTATTTCATGTGACAATATTACCTAGTGCCTATGCCCGGGGTGGGGGTAAAGGGACAAGAATTTTCTCTGAAGCAGTCCAGAATTCTTTTGATGGAGAATTTGGAACTGGAAGAAGTAGGTCATTGCTTGGCACAGCTGGCTACAGCTCAGTCTGGGGATCCGAAGGTCCTGCCTGGCTGGGAGGACTTCCAGGTTCAGGTCAAGTCTATGCATTTTTCAAAGCCTTCTCTTCTCAACATGGTTTTCTCAGGTGTTTTTAGTACTGAAAGGAGAAGGCACTCCTGGTCTACCTGAATCATGGTGCATGTAGAGGCTGTAGTTCTGCCTGCAAAGCAGTTGAATTTTTGGATTTACAAACAAGTGCAAGCAACAAGGGCAGACTTTCCAAGGGCTGAGTCTCAGAACTAAGAGGTCAAACCACCAAAAATGACCTGCACAATCATGAACCTATTGTCTTATTCTTACCCTTTGACAAGGAAAAATATACAGTGAAAAAAACTAGGTTATAAAACATTGTTCAACATAATCATAATTTAGTAAATACTTATAGAAAGAATACTGAAACAGCAAAATATTAATGGTGGTCCCCTTGACCCTCTCCCTCTGCCATTTTTATATCATATAGAATGATAACACTAGCTGTGTTGTCCTCCCTTTAGAAAGTTCTTCATTCTATTATGCACATACAGAGGCTAACAATATATGGAAAATATGACATCTCACATCCTTAGACTTCTGCAGGAAATAACCCAAGGGCTACCAAGTTCACACCAATATACCATACAATGCTGCGAGGAAGATTATCAAACTTGATTATAAAATTGATAGTTTGAAGACTCTTAACATTTTCATCCATTCCACCAAAAACTGATCTTCTCTGTTCTATATTAATGGCGACTGGCTAACAAAGGAGTCTCTAAACTTGTTTGAGCACATGACCTCAATGGTAAAAGAGAGACTGTAATCATAACACAGACTTATGCATATTTATTCATAAAGTGGGTGCGTGTATACTTACATGTTAAGTCCATTATCAAATGTATGAGAATAGAACTGTTGTAGTCGAATGGTCTGTATTTTTCCTGTACCACACTGGGTTATCTCGTGTGTGCCTCACTTTGGAGATCTAGAGTTTAAACACCAGAGAGAAAAAAGTGGCCAGCATAATATGGCTGATGCTAATTTGCTACCTGGGAGGCTTCCTGGGCAGGGGTCCAGAAATCTCCACACCATTCACCCACTCACATGCATAAGGGCTCCACCAGTCAGCACCTTGGAAACCCCCAGCCAGATGTGTAGAGTGGACTCAACCACCTGCACCTGGCAGGTCACCAGCAGGAACTCATTCTTTCCTGGGCTGAAAGTCCCTTCCCACAGAGAGGCTCAGGGTGGCTGTGCCTGGGGACTTCACAGTTGGCTGAGGGCCAAGGAACCTCTGCGAATGAAGTACTTCCCTATTTTTTCATATGGTTTGTCCAGAAGATGACTAAATAGAAAAGCTTTGGTGATTCTTCTTTTTCTGCTCAGCACTCTATAAATATAGACAGTGGTCAGAGTAATAATAATCATAGGTTTTGGAATGTTTTCATAAAAATCTGATGTCAATTAGGACATTCAGGAAAGCTAAAAACACCTTGGTGTAACGCCACATCCAGATTTGCCTTTAAAATCTTGAATAAAAAGTGCTGAGACTCTGCATGGTTTTCTAGTTCCTCCAAACAAGTTTTGAGTGATGGGAGATAGCTCATTAAGTTCAATTCTGGGGAGATTAGAAGTTTAAAAAATAATCAACCCTAAACTAAAGTGACTCCAAAACCAAGTCTCATAAAATGTCTGTTAACCTTCAATTCCGTCTTTGCCAAGTAGAGGCTCTAAGAGTGTCTGGGGTTCCCAGCACATCATCTAACATCCAGTGCTAGCAGAAAGCAAGAACACGGTCCCTCTGCTGAAGAATGATTGAACAAATGAATGAATGAATGATCACTTCATAGCCTGAAGTTCATCTTTGAGGTACAGACATAAGCCTGTATGTTCTAGTGATTTGTTTTAGAGGCTTTTTTTTTTTTTTTTTTTTTTTTTTTTTACTAGCTGCTGGAAAGACAGATGAAAGTAATGACGGCTTCTAATTTCAAAGAGCTCACAGACCAGTGAGAAAAAAAGAAGGTGAGCAGAGAACATCAACCTAGGGTGCTCTCATGAGGTCTGAACACGTTGCAGGAGGTTGTGGAGGAACGCTTAATATGGGTGCAGAAAGGTTTCAGTGGGGGGCTGGCCCTTGAGGCCAGGTAGTGATGGGTGGAGGAACTGGTTAGCCTGTGTAGCTGGGGCTGGAGGGACATTCCCAGCACAGCAATCAGCTCATGGGGTGCACAGAAGCACAGTGTGACTGGGAAGGGTGATAAGTCCAAAGTGCTTAGGCCCAAAGGAAGAGGTTGCCTGCCTGGGAAGCACCACGCAGGCCAAGGCATTTTTATTCTATCCTGCAGGCAGTGAGGAAACTAGAGTTGGTTTTAAGTAGGACACAGTCTCCTTCCTTGCTTTTTTTTTGTTTTTTTTTTTGGTTTTGTTTTTTGTTTTTGAGACAGAGTCTTGCTCTGTTGCCTAGGCTGGAGTGCAGTGGCATGATCTCGGCTCACTGCAAGCTCCACCTCCTGGATTCACGCCATTCTCCTGCCTCAGCCTCCAGAGCAGCTGGGACTACAAGTACCCGCCACCACGCCCAGCTAATTTTTTGTATTTTTAGTAGAGATGGGGTTTCAGTAGAGACGGGGTTTCACCGTGTTAGCCAGGATGGTCTTGATCTCCTGACCTGGTGATCCACCTGCCTTGGCCTCCCAAAGTGCTGGGATTACAGACATAAGCCACTGCGCCTGGCCTCCTTCCTTCCTTTTTTACAGCATGACCGGATATGAAAAGAA